GCACCTTGTTCGTATTGCTTCGGACCATTGTCCGTTGATTGTGAAATTCTCATCTAGCATGCCTATGTCTGCTAGTAAATGGATCCGGTTTGAAGACACATGGATGTCTTATCCCTGTACATGGAAGCTTGTTTGGAAGAATTGGATTAAAAGGGATTATGGGTTACCTGATGAAGTTTTGAACCGAAAGTGCTATAGAACTTTGAAGGCTCTATTTTTTTGGAGCCGAAATCGATTAAAAGATCTTGGGGAGTTGAAGATTTCATTGGAAGGGAGAATTGAGGAACTTCAAATGATGGATTGTTCGCTGGATGGGCTGAATGAGGATCAAGAGCTAGAACTCCGTCAAAAGGCAGTGGAACTTAATTCCACTTTGGCATGGTTGGCTACGTGGTGGAAACAAAGAGCGAAGGCGAAATGGGTTGAAGATGGTGACACGAATTCTCATTTTTTCCATTCGTTTGCTTCTGCTCGTCGTAGGAGTAATCGGATTGTGGAAATTCAGAATCAGGATGGCGATGTTATTACTGAACCTAAGTTGGTGCAGGATGAATTCTGGAATTTCTTTATGCAGAAGTGGAAGGAACGGCAGGTCTCAATGACGAATTGGCCAGGTTTCCAGGAGGAGGATAGAATCAATGAACAGTTTCAAGATAATCTGGAGGCGGAGATCACTGAACAAGATATTCGGCTGGCAGTGTTTGGATTGGGTAAAAACAGAGCACCTGGTATTGATGGTATAAATTCTTCTTTTTTAAAATTTTATTGGGATATCATCAAGGATGATGTTATCCGTGCTATTATCCATGTTTTTAATACTAACTCTATGAGTGAGAGCTGGAAAGAAACATTGGTGGTCCTCATTCCGAAGATGGTGAATGCCAATATGCCTTCAAAATTCCGGCCCATCAGCTTATGTCAATCTTTTTACAAGATTGTTGCAAAGATTTTTGTTAATCGACTCAAACCTGTCTTGAGTAGTATCATTAGTGAGGAACAGGAGGCATTTGTTCCGGGAAGATCGATTTCTAGTCATGGTTTGCTAGTTTAAAATTTCTGCTAAAAAATCTGGACTTATGGCATTAAAGGTGGACATGGAGCAAGCGTATGATTTTATGGCTTGGGAAACATTACATAATGTAATGGTTTCGATGGGTTTCAAAGATCGGTTTATTAACTGGGCGATGCAATGTATAACCAGGCCAAAATTTACAATTCTTATTAATGGCAGCAGGACATAGTGGATAACAACAAGGAGCGGATTGGGACAAGGATGTCCCTTGTCTCCTTATTTATTTATTCTTTGTGCAGAATTATTCACTAAAGCTTTCAAGCAGAGGGGAGCTCAACTTGGAATTCAGGTGGCTAAGAATGCAGTGAGTATCTCTCATTTATTGTATGCTGACGATATTTTGGTATTTGCTCATGCTAGTAGGTGCAATGCAATTCAAATTATGAAATTATTGGAAGAATATTGTTGCTGGACGGGTCAGAAGATAAACGGTGGAAAGTCGGCCATTATGTTTAATAAAAAATGCCCAAGTTGGAAGAAGAGGTTGATTGTTAGTATTATGGGGTATCGTAAAGTTAACTCCCTTGAATATCTTGGAATCCCATTGGTGATGAGAAGGCTGGTAGCTGCTGACTTTGAGAAAGTTATTAAAACTGCTCATGAGAAGATTAATTTGTGGGGGAAAAAACATTTATCCTATGTGGGCAGAGTTCTACTCATCAGATCATCTCTTTTATCTGTCTCCATGTATGCTATGACTCATACGGCTATTCTGAATGGAGTTCTTAATGAGATTGAAAAGCTGGGAAGGAGGTTTCTTTGGCAGAAGAGTGCAGTTAGTCGTGGAATGCACTATATTGGGTGGAGCGAGCTCTGTCAACCATTGTCGATGGGGGGTCTTGGCTTCCACTGCCTGACTCGATGGAAAGGAGCTCTATGTGCTCGGGTGGTTTGGGATCTATTACAGAACCAGAACTCATTGCTGCATAAATTACTTATGGCCAAGTATGAGATGAAGTTATGGGAAAGTATGCAGGGCCATAAAGTTTCTACTACGTGGAAAATTATTCAGGATGGAGCATGGGCGCTGAAGCCGATCATTAGGTGGAAAGTAGTAAATGGAGAACAGGTTAATGTAATCCAGGATGTGTGGATCATGGACAGGGCTATTGAAAGGTGGCCGACTTTCGTTAATATGGAGGAGATGGAGAATCATATGGTTAGTCACTTATTAACCAGCTCTTTGCAGTGGAATGGGATAGTGGTTGAGCGTTGTTTTGGGCAGATTATGGCAGAACGTATATGGCTATTGATATCTACAGTGAGGATAATGAAGATAGGCCTGAGCTGATTTATTCAAAGTTGACAATGACTGTTGCAGCTATGGCGTACAGGGAAAATAGTGCAAAGGGAGAGTATCAATTTAACTGGTTTAAAGATCTTAGATTGCATCCCCGTGAGAATTTTTTCTGGTGGAGAATTCTTAAGAATGCTATTCCAACAGCTTGCTGGCTATTTCATAGAAAATTATCGGAAACTACAATGTGCCCGTGGGGATGTAATGAGGAGGAGACATTGGATCATTGTACGACGCAATGTAGTAAGGTGAAGCAGGTATTGGAAATCCTTCGGAGATGGGGTTTTGGAATGCCATTTGTGAACTCTCTTCAGGAGCTATTGATTGAATTATTTAATTGTAGAAAGAGGAATTCTGGAATGGGAAGAATTTTCTGCTACACAGTTTATCAGGTGTGGAGAGCCCGGAATGACATGAAGCATCACCGGATGTGCAGATCCCCGTCAGTTGTTGCTGCTGCAGTGCTGTCACTACTACCGAAACCTTTTAAATGGCCAATATTGGAGCAATGGAGTACTAACCAGCCCATTGGGCTACCTCCTCATAAGCTTTGGTGCACCCCCCTCCAGGTTGGCTTAAATTTAACTTTGATGCAGCTTTATTGCCTTCTAATCAAGCGGGCCTTGGTATTATTGCCCGTGATCACCATGGAAAGTTTTTAATTGCTGCTGGGAGATGTATTGAGCACTGGGATGTGTTACAAGCTGAGATTCTGGCTGCGTGCTTGATCTGTGAAGTAATTTGGGACTGGATGCGTGATGTGATGGGATCATTATTGAAGTGGATTGCGTGAATGCAATTCGCTGGATGCAAAATTTGAATGATAGGCATCACCCAATTCACCGCAAGGTGGAGGGACCGGATCTCTCGTTTCTGATGGAGTTCAATAAGGTGATTTTTCAGTTTATACCACGGGCCAGTAATTGTGCAGCTGATTACTGTGCCCATTTTGCTTTAGCTGGCAATTTTACTTTTTTTGATGTTAATAATGAGGAGATCCCTTTAGCACTTTTGTCGTTGCTAAGGGTGGATAGTGATAGGGTTTAGCTTTATAGTTGATGTTTACTTGTAACTAGCTTTTACTTCTTTATTAATGCAAATGCAGATGTTCAGCTCCTCCTCTTCTTAAGCAAAGAGTAGTGATATGAGGTACGTGAAATAGCTTAAGAGTACTTAAATGAAGTTGTAGATTTAGATATTTAAAAAATAAATTTAGTAACCTAGCGTTGTAGTGCTGGAAACCACAACATTAAAGCTATAAAAAACACAAATTTTTTACATGATCAAATAATCATTAATGACTTATAAATAATGCTCATGTAAATTCCTACATGCATGAAAATATGAATGAGAGAATTACAACACTGTGAAATTTTTGTGACTTCTCAAGTTTGAAGTAATAAAAGGGAGCGCTACTATTCTTCAGTTTGGAACTCTATGGTGTTGGGTCTAAAAAAAAAATTAAAAAAAAATATCCTAATCCACTATCACATTAAATACCCCAAGCCATCCCTAAGCTATTCTCCATTTTCTTCCTTGACTAGGAATGAGAGGAAGAGAGAAGTGGAAATAAGGGAGGAGAGGAAAGGAAAGGAGAGGAGAGAAAGGCATAAAGAAGAGGAGAGAAAAAAGAGAAAGTTTTCCTTGAGAGCATTTTTTACCATCCTCCTAATTCTGAAAGTTATTTTGATCTTGGCAGGTAAGCATAATATTATTTATGTTTCCAAAGGTTTTAAGTTTTATTTTTCTATCTCTTCCATATCTTGTTAAAATGCATTATCTTCCAATTTAATGGGCGATGGTAGTGACTACAGGTAATGGCGGTTGGTGGTGGCAGCACCATCACTAGACAACAATGCCAGTGGGCAGCGCGATTGGCGGTGGAGATGGTGGGGGGCTGTCTGGTAGAGATGGTGGGCGGCCGGTGGTGGATGATGGTTACTAGCAACTAACAGCAGAAAGGAATTGGAGATGGTGGCCTTCAGTAGTGGGCAAACAAGATTTAAAGTGGTGTAAACGCTTCTCTCTCAAAATTGGGCGAGAATATTTTACCTCAAAAATGAACTAGAATGTAATACAATATATTTATATTACTTTTCATTAGATTTATTTTTCACCCAGAAAAACACCAAACTTTTTAAAACCCTACATTCACTTAGCTTTACACTCACATTACTTCGAATAAAACACCCCTATATTAAAACTCTATGAGTTAGTTTTGCATGTGTAGTCTTTTAAATGAAATGATTAAGATAAAAGTATATATAGAATAAGTAGAAATTAATATACTTAGTTTGGAGGTGGCATACATAATATGCATAGTAAAATAGTACATTTTGCATAACATGCATATGATATAACTTATATGATATGCATGCATACATACATGAGCACATTATTGATAAGATTTGTTTATTGATAGTATAAAATAATGCATGACATGTTAATCAAATTAAATACTTATATGATACATGATGCATATAATATTATTATGATATAACATATGTATGTGTAATTACAAGAAAAGCTAGCATGCAAGTTTTATTGTACAATAGGATGGGCTAGGATTCTTTATAGATAGTAATAAGTAGATAATATATGCCAACAGGTAAGAGCGACGAATCTTATAAGATAGCAACCTAACACACTAATATATGACACATGATATGGCAAGATATGAAGATATAAAAATACTGCTTGATTATCTAGATGTCCTAATTTGCATTAATATGCACATGTACATGCATATATTACATGATAATTAAAGATAATATGAATAAGGATAAGTTATATGATAGGTAATCTATATTTTATATAATATAATACATGAAAATGATGTATAATGATACTGATATATATATATATATATATATACAAATGTTTGATATACCTAATACTTGAGATTAGTGCATAATGCATAAATAACATAATAAAAATAATATGACAATCTTGATGTCGACCTACATTGATAACTAATATATCTAAGATACAATTGCTTTCTTCATTAATTCATATGATAGCCTTTCTTTAGTCCTTTTCATATGCTGGGATAGAATTGAGACAATGATTACTACTTACACTCATGATTATGATTCATATTGATTGATATTGTTCATATAGATCATTATTGTTCATGTTGATATTTTCCTATGTACATGAATTTATGATAGTCAAGCTCTATTGTTGATTTGAATAATCTCATTCATTTATTTTTCTTTTTGTGTATTGGGTGTAGTGGTAGGCTTTGTGATCTATTGAGCTTTTTCTCATCATTCAATTAATTTTTCATTATTTTAGGAGTAAAGACCTAGTAGAGTGAGGATGATCAAATTATATTCTACTTTAGGTATTTCTTTTATATATTTTGTATTTTTGTTTATAATCATTAAAATGTATTAAGATATAATGATTTAAAAAATGTATTCATGACTAGTATAAATGATTCTTTTGGAAATGAAATACATGTTTTAATGAAATGAAAATTAAACTAGCTTATGTTGTATTTATTATTTTATATGTATGTTATTAGTGGTTCTAGTTGGCGATTCTAAGATAAGTAGGAAATTATTCTAAGTTAGTTTTTACGGCATGACAAAAATACTATCTCAAAACATTGTAGACCATAGAACTTTGCGCCATAATGCCCAAATGCCCAGAACTTTCCAAACAAAGAGGGAAGTATTTTTGTGCTTGCTTGGTCAGTGTTCCAGCCAAGGTTGAGAAAATCAGACCGGACAACGAACCGGAAGAATGAGTGGTTCACGGTTTGATCGCTCAAAGCGAGAGGTCAAACTTGATGATGTAATAAATAATAATATTATTAAAAATTAATAAAATTAATATAATAATGATGACAAACTTTAAAAATTATAAATAATTATTTTTATTTAAACAATTATAAATTTAAGAATTTTAAAATTTATTACAATCATTTTTTAATTGAATATTCTATACAAAATTTTCCCAACAAATTCTCATAGAATCATTTATCATGCACACATTGTAGAAACTTCTAATTATTTAGTATCACATCACTTATAAGTTTTATGTTATGTTGTTTATATATCTTTTCTTGTATCAATGAGTTAAGAGCCCATATGGGGTGATGGAATCATGTCAGTATAATTAACTAGTGTTTAATACATAATATTCAAAAAAAATTGGAATTATATTATTAAATAAAATACACATTATTTAAACTAATTTAATATTTAATAAAATATTTTTATATTAAATTAAATTATTTAAATTTATTATGAATTGAACCGATCGGTTTTTACTAAGCAGGACCAGTTCAATGATCGGCCAGTTGAACTGGCAATTCAAACATATTTGATGCTAGACCGATTTTTTAGGAGGACCGAACTAGCCACAAGACCAATTCACGATCAAACCGGCCATTCCAATCCGATTTTCAAAACCTTAGATATGCAAGAATTTTAATATGGTTCAATTGTGTCATTAAAAGGTCATTAATAAATCATTAATCTAATCTAGGTAATGGTTATCACAACTTTTCACATATAATGCCACATTATTATATGCTAAAAAAATTTAAGGGTAGAGAAAGTGTACTCAATATAAGCATTCATCATGTACATATAAAATTTAAAAAAGATGTCAAAATTTTTTATGTGAAAATCTTTAGAAGGGAAAAAATCATACAGCGTGGCATAGTTGAAACATAAACTATATAATTAAAGATACATGAGTCCACTCTTCTCCAAATTTAAAGAATAGAGAATTATACAACTGAAAAAAACTATTGTTTTCATTTTTAGGGATTATAGAAGAAATGATAGAAGGTGAAGATTATCATATGATATCACTCGATCAATGATGATGTAATAAAGATCGAGTGTCTACAATTGGATAATAGTCAATTGTTAGCAGCCAGGCAATGAATGTTGCGATTGTTGATGGTAGTCATCATTAGTGATTATTGAGCAAAATAGTAGAGTTTTTAAGATCCCTTAGCTATTGATACTCAATCGCATAGAAAACAAGGTCTAATTTATAATTTTTAAACAATCATTTTTGTAAATTTGGCCAAGATCCAAAACACTAAATCTAACAACAAATATTGATCCTCTTAATGATAAATAGTTTGTGCAACATTTGAGTATCTTAATGTCATTAGAAATGAGTGGTCTTGGGCTAATTGAATTCATCTTATCAATTTGAATACAAGCATGTAAGATTTGAGGGTTGTCTAGTCTTCTTACCAATGTCTCCAAAATTTCCATTATGTTTTAAATGTTCTATTTGAACTCATTTGAAGTTATCAGATCAGGTGTCGATGAATTTATCTTATCAAATGTTTTGTTTGAATATAAATTTTATCATAATTTTAATCAACATGTATTTAATTTTAAAAAAAAAAATTTACTTCAAACTACTATATTAAAATTCATGTCGATCAAGTTATCCCTTAAAGGCATATATTTACTTAAAAACAAAATAGATTTTACTAATTATTTACATTTTCTTGGACATTATTTCTCCTAATTCGAAGCAAAAAAGTAAGAAGAATAGCGACGACTGACGAGGAAAAGCAAAAATATAGGAAATATCTCAAAACGAAGCTTTAATCTTGGCCGTTGGATGTACTCTCTGCCTTCACAATAGACAAAAATCCACCGCCGCTTTGCAGCCTGAGCTCTCCCATGTACTTTCGCACCTCCTCGGCGATCACTTTCTTCATTACAGACATCAAAGTCGCATTCCCCAACCACCCCTTCTCCATACACCCGCCGCCGGTGCCGATGTCTGGTGCCGAGGGAGCGGCCGCCGCTGAGCTTTCTCCAGGAGGGCTCAGTGACAGCGATGTCGCCGGATCCACTGCCTCCGGTGTCATTGGCTCCACCACTCTCAGAATCAAATCATCCCTCCTACACGGCCGCTTTCCTCCCGATTCCGAATCTGACTCAGGGACAGAGAGAGCAGCGGCGGAGAGAGCAGCGGAGATAGACGTAGCCTCAACGCGGCGTCGGCGGCGGAGAGTAGAATTCCAATGGTTCTTTATGGCGTTATCAGTGCGACCGGGAAGAAGCCGTGCAATAGTCGCCCATTTGTTTCCATATTCCCTATGGGCGTCGACGATGATAGCATCCTCGGTCGCCGTAAAAGGGCGGTGATGGACGTCCGGGCTCAGCTGATTACACCATCGGAGCCGGCAAGATTTCCCCGATCTCCCCTGTATTCCTGCGCTTATAAGCGTCCAGTTCCGAGCCCCATGCCTTTCCACCAACCTCATCAGTAAAGCATCTTCTTCGGGACTCCAAGATCCCTTAATCTTCTCATCCCCTCCCCCTTCCATTCTCTTCTTCAAGGTTTTCTTTCATCTCTCCTTCCTCCTCTGTTTATAAGCAGAAGGGCTCAGGGAAGCAGGAGGGTATTCGTTCGTTTCTTCGTTTGTCTCGTTTCGGTTTAGGTGCGAAGGGAAAAGAGATAGAGTTTCCACTTTCAAATTTTCCGATTTAATTCAACAACCGTTTCACTTTAGATATATAGTTAGTTGGGGATCATCTCTCCTTCCTCCTCTGTTTATAAGCAGAAGGGCTCAGGGAAGCAGGAGGGTATTCGTTCGTTTCTTCGTTTGTCTCGTTTCGGTTTAGGTGCGAAGGGAAAAGAGATAGAGTTTCCACTTTCAAATTTTCCGATTTAATTCAACAACCGTTTCACTTTAGATATATAGTTAGTTGGGGATTTACACATTTAATATCTAAAATTTAAATTTTAAATATTTATTATAAAAATAATAAATTGTTTTTTATTTATCTTTAAATTCTCCCTTATATATAATCAAATTTTAATAAGGTTACCGTGATATTCGCAAATACAATAATTAAAAAAGTAATATAAAAAAATAT